GCAGCAGCGGCCCGGGGAGCCCATCACGGACGTGGCCGTGATCATCCGCTCGCAGGGCGAGGAGGTGCCGCAGGGATTCACCTGCATCGAGACCACCACGTCCGGACACCCCGTGGATCTCAACGCGGGGCTGCTCAACAACCCCCAAATGTTCCTGTGCTACAAACGCGGCAGGGACAAAGCGCCCCTCATCGAGCTGGGGTCAGCGGGGAAACTGAGGCCTGATGCGGGGAGAGGGTGGGGACTGGGAAAGGAACCGAGTGCTGCTTTGGGGAGAGAATTTGGGAAACTGGGAAAGGATCTGGGTCCTGATTTGGGGAAGAATTTGGGGAGAGTTTGGGAAACTGGGAAAGGACTGGGTCCTGATTTGGGGAAAGAGGGTGGGGACTGGGAAAGGATCTGGGTTCTGATTTGGGGGAAAAGTTTGGGAAACTGGGAAAGGACCTGAGTCCTGCTTGGGAAACTGGGAAAGGACTGGGTCCTGTTTGGGGGAAAAGTTTGGGAAACTGGGAAAGGACTGGGTCCTGATTTGGGGGGGAATTTGGGAAATTGGGAAAGGAACCAAGTCCTGATTTGGGGAGAGGGTGGGAACTGGGAAAGGACTGGGTCCTGATTTGGGGAAGAATTTGGGGAGAGTTTGGGAAACTGGGAAAGGATCCAGGTCTGATTTGGGGATAGAGTTTGGGAGCTGGGAAAGGAACCGAGTCCTGCTTTGGGGGGAATTTGGGAACTGGGAAAGGACTGGGTCCTGATCTGGGGGGAGTTTGGGAATTAGGAAAGGACCCGAGTTCTGCTTTGGGGGGAATTTGGGAAATTGGGAAAGGACTGGGTCCTGATTTGGGGAGAGTTTGGGAAATTGGGAAAGGAACCGAGTCCTGGTTTGGGGGAAGAGTTTGGGAAACTGGGAAAGGATCTGGGTCCTGATTTGGGGGAAGAGTTTGGAAAACTGGGAAAGGACTGAGTCCTGATTTGGGGGGGAGTTTGGGAATTGGGAAAGGATCTGAGTCCTGCTTTGGGGAGAGGTTGGGAAACTGGGAAAGGAACCGAGTCCTGTTTGGGGAGAGTTTGGGAACTGGGAAAGGATCTGGGTCCTGATTGGGGGGGAATTTGGGAACTGGGAAAGGACTGGGTCCTGATTTGGGGAAAGAATTTGGGAAACTGGGAAAGGGCAGCTGGAGCCTTGTCTGGGTGACCAGAGCATCGGTCCCAGGTCTGAGTGACCAGAGGATTGGTCACAGCTCTGGGTGACCAGGACATCGGTCCCAGGTTGGATTTGGTGACCCCGGAGCTCTTTCCATACCCGGATCATTTTGGGGTTCCGCTGTGGGGTCTCCGCAGCTCCGGAGGCTCCCCCTCACCCCTCTGCCCCCGCAGGGTGCACTATGAGGGCAAGGACCGGCCCAAGCCGGGCTACCAAATCCTGGACACGACTCCCTACAGCCGCTCGGCCAACCTGGCCTCGGGCTCCCCGGGCCACCAGCGCACGTTCCTGACGTTCCGGCGCGCGGCCGAGCCCCCGGGCCACCACACGCTGGGGGTCACCGACATCTGCCTGGTGATGCCCAGCAAGGGCGAGAGCACCCCGCACACCTTCTGCCGCGTGGACAGGAACCTCAACACCAGCATGGTGGGTTTTTTGGGGGGGTGTCCAGTGGGTTTGGGGGTCCCCCGGTGCTGTCTGGCAATGGCTGAG